TGTCTCTTTTGGGTGGAAGTTTTGGAAAGTTTGGCTTGCCATCTTTCGCTTCTTCTTCCTCGAGAGAACCATCTTATTTCATCTATGAGTTTTTCCAATTGATGTCTTTTTGAAAAACTGCTTTTGAAACCCGAATTTGCATCTAGCTTCTTAAATCATCTCTCATTTATATCTAGGTCAGATTCAAGACTGATTTCTTCAAGAGTATGGTTTCTTGAAGAAATTTGTCTTTCTCAATTCTTGAAGAAATTGGTCTTTCTCCTTTGAATCCAAATTGGTTTCGGTTTGTGTTGGAGCTTGCAAGCTAGTGCCATGGGATGAACGAGCTGGAGAAGGAGCTGCCATTGCCATGAAGGACTGAGCTTCAAGCTTTGCTAAGTTGGAGAAGAAGATTGCACAAAGGAGGTATAGCTCATCTTCCTAAATAGACCTAGGAATTTCTTGAGCTTGCTAGTGTTCTTTGTAAGAATCTTTTTCTACTTAGTGGATTGCCTGGTCGGTTGATGACCCCCAGTTTTTCCCAATGGTGGGTTTCTGGGTGAACAAATTCTGGTTTGCATATCTGTAAATTTTCTGGGTTTGTGTTCTTGATAGTTGACTAGTCATCTGGGTTCTCGCGGTTGACTAGTCATCTTTATCTGCTGTTTGATGTTTACATGATAATGATGATTTCACACACTTTCACCATAGTTGTTGCTAGCACAGGGGATGCCTAGATTGACGGGTCCTTCTGAGTGCCTAGGTTGTCACTAGTAATCTTCTAGGGTTGCAGGTACATTGTGGCATGCTCTGTTTGTTCACTTGATTGTGATTGTTCATGACTAGCAGTTGACTAGTCATATGTGTATTTGGTCAAGGTTTAAAGTGTCTGAAGATTGCTGTGTTGTTGTGTCTTGTTTGTGTGATTAAATTTACCCCTCGTCACCTAAGTACCAATTTCAACCTAACATAAGAAGAGAATCACTTGAAAATAAATAAATAATAAGCATCCAAAACAATCAGATTTCTGAGCCAAGTATCGACACCAGTTTCAAAGGAGGTTTTTGTATTGAATCTAGGCTCCTTTTGGACTCTTCTCGATTGCAGTCCTGGTTTTGTTAGCCTTTCACTATAATCAGCATGACGATCGGGTCGAACAGCCTATATTAGTATGATTGCTTAGCTCCCATGTGCTACTATTATGTGTTAATTGATTTAGTTTGTCCTTGAATTGGTGACCTGTGTGTTTCTTCAACATTTTAATTTGATATTGGTTGATAGGAATTTGATGTGTTTGCAGTCTGTTGTTTGGATTATTTGAGGTTTTCGTCAGTGAAATTTCTGATCATGGAAATACACAATTGGGTTTTTATTGTTTTGTTTAGACATTTGTATGAGTGGTTTTGGATATTTCCGATGAATCTCTAGTTAGTTATTTATAGGGATATGCGTGTTCCTTCATTACTATATAACCTTGTCGAAAGACCATATGATATTAATAGACTATCAATAACCAAGCAGAAGCATGCACTAATCACGTGGTTGTGATATTAAACATTAGCCTGTAGATGTTATATCTAGAATTTAGGTGTCACTATTGGATTGCTTCAGATTATCAAGCCTGGAGTTGTTATTTGGGGAAGAAAATGAAGCTTATGTAGAACGAATAGCAGTAAACTATTATGCTGTTATCTGATTTAGTATCAGATGACTCTTTTAAAGCAAACTTGTCTGGCATATGTGCGAATCGAAACCCTGGATGGATGTTCAAATTTCCTTTATTATTACAAAATATTAGTGCTTAGTTAGTTGTGTGTGTGATATATCTCAAGATATTATAGAGATGTCAAAATGAAGTAACAAGACTGTCCATGATGACCTGTAGCTTGTAGATCGAGAAACATCAGCTCCAAAGAAATTGGGTGATCACTGTGTAAAACTTTGTGTTTAACCTGGTATCTCGAGAGGTGAAAGGAATTTAGTTTAACTGGAGGATAATACACTCTTCTTATCTCTGGTTTTTATTTCTAATTCTGTGTAGTTGCTTCTGGGGTGCATTGCCCTCCCCACCCCATTTCCCAAAAGAAAAAAAGACAGTTTTGGTCTCTAGAATTTGATGATGAAAATTTTCCTCTTAGGCAGTCAATGTTAGCCTTGGAAGTTCGCATAACTGCTTTTTGAATGCTGGGTATGATAGTAATTGCCTTTTTAATACTGATATGATAGTAATCTTAAACTGCCATTCTGTTGTACATTGTCTACCGGTTTATTCGTTTGTTTTCAATTAGTTTTTGGGCAATCAAGTTTTCATTTATACATGATTGTCTGCTTTCTTGTTATTTTTTGTTTTGGCAGGAGAACCTTTTATTAACGGTGAAGCAGTACCATATGATCCCAAGTACCATGAGGAATGGATAAGAAACAATAGCCGAGCAAACGAAAGGAACAGACGCAATGACAGACCTCGAAATTTTGACAGATCAAGGAACTTTGATAGGAGGAGCGAAAATATGCAGAACCGAGATTTTCAGAACTGGGGTCAGCCTCCTATGCCTAATCAAGCTGGGCAAAATCCTGGGCCTAACATGCCTGGACCTGCCAACAACATGAGGACTCCCAACAATATGGGCCCCCCACCCCCGAACGCGGGTCTAATGGCTCCCCACAACAACGTGGGTCTACCGTAGTGTGCAGCAGCCAAACAACTGGAGTGGTGGGCAGCCCAACAACAATAGCAATCAGATGCCTCATAATGATAATCAGATGCCGCCGCCACTGCCTAACTAAAATCAGATGCCTCCCAACAACATGGGAGCTGAAAAAGATAGGAATTACAGCTGTAGGAATTTTCCAAAAAAGGAAATAAAACTAGCTGATAGACAGCTAAGCTAACAGCTGTTACTAAAAATGGGAAGTCCCCAAGTTCTTCGATTTCTTCATTCTCTTCATTATCAATCTGCAGGATTGTCATCTGCAGCTTGATTTAAGCTTAGTATGCAGCTTAATTCTCAACACAAATAACATGGGAGGTCCACCGCCTAATGCAGGATGGAGGGGTGCTGGGCAATACCAAGATAACTACGTCACCATGAGTCTTCTAGGCATGCCGTAGATAAGCATGGAGGCTGCTCAAGATGTGCTGTAGGTTTTTTATGTCACCGGTCTGGAATGATATTTTGTTTGTCTTATTGCTGGGTGCTAACCTGGTTGCCTTTTTATCTGAATATGATTACACTTTCAGAGTCGAATCTGATTGGATTAATCGTATCTTTGCTTTGCTACTTGGTACTAGTCATGTCATGTCATGTAGTGCACATATTTGCAGAAAGCAGAAGACTGTTTAATGAAACCACTATGATAGGGCAATGCTCTCTTATTTTTCTTCTATTAGTCATCCTCCTAATCAATTGAAAAATCTAAACAAAATCCAAAAAGCAATTATATGTATAATTTTTTCTCTAGGTGCTTGCGCTTGTGCTTGGCTTAGTAACTTCAGTACAGGAACAATGGTGAATACAACCCAATTCACTTCATCATTTGTTCATTCATTCCATTCAACTATACAAACAAAACCCATAAGGCAATTAGACACAAATTATTCTCTCTGAGTCGCGGACTCGCGGTGCTTCTGCTTGCAGCTTGCTTTAGTAACTTAAAGACAAGAACTAGTGATCAGAACCCATTTTCAGTTCATCACCAACTCATCCAATTTCACATCCGAAACAAACCCAAATTAAGAGCGATTATGTAGAAGCAAGATTAGCAGATTAGTGGCAGACATGCCCATATATCTCAGGCCATGTCACTCTCAAGCAAGGTTAGTGAAAAATATTCATCCAATGGGCATCTTTTTAGTGTTTTTTGCTGTGATTTCTTACTGATTATTTTTGGGAAGCTCTCCAAGTTGAAATTTCTGGCCCTTGATTTCAACAATTTACAAGGTTCTTTGCCCTCATCTTTGATGAATTTCACAAACCTTGTAGAACTACACTTGGGATCCAATCCAACAACTTGGAAGGAGATATCTGCGTGCTTGATTTTTCCAGACTTGGTCAATAACTTTACTGGTACGTTTCCAATAAGCATTTACTCATGTAGGTCCCTGAAAGCAATTCAATTGACTTCAAGTCATCTAGGGGGACAAATACAACCTCAGATTCTTTCACATCAAGTCATCTTGGGGGGCAATTCAATTGACTTCAAGTCATAACTGCATCGCTTTCAAGCTAACTAGAAGAAAATCAAAAAATTAGATGCAACTTTCACAGAACTGCCTTTTAGCTTGCAGCTTGCTCGAAATGCGACATCTGCATGCCAACATCCAAACACTCGTCTCCTAGAATTATTCTCCACAACTCAACACAATACACTTGTTCCTGGTGGGGCTCATTTTATAGCTATCAATATATTTAGCAAGTAGTTGTTAAGTTGTGCCCGCTCAGAGGGTTCAACATTATTGCTCTACCAAGAAACTTTATTATAGCAGTTGCCTTCTTGTTGGGCAAACAACTTGGAATAAATGACTATCCTCCAATTTTGAATTTTCTTAGAAGAATCATCAACAAGAAAACAACTTTGAACTTGGACTTTAAGTGATTAACATGGAAGATGTGCTCGCTGGTATCAGTTATCAGCTGCCTTAAAAATAACGTCAATGTATAATGTCGGATCAGGCTTGACTGGCACTGTCACTCTCAGGCCATATCAATCTGGCAAGAAAAATAACACCATATATCTTCCAAAGTCCTTGAAAAATTGTCATTTTTTTGAAAGAAAACACCAATGAGGGAAAGCACACGTCAAACATTGGGTGGCTGGCTGTATTTATATCAATACAAGTTTCAAATTACAAGCTGTTCCTAATTCTGTGGAGATAAGATACTCAAACGACAAAGATGAGTTCTTAGAAGAATCATCAACAAGAAAAACAACTTTGAACTTGGACTTTGAGTGATTAACATGGAAGATGAGCTGGTATCAGTTATCAGCTGCCTTAAAAATAAAAGGAAATAGTCAAAACATATTCCAGTTTGAATTCAACAAGGATTCTGTTTATCACATATATCATGGTCAATAATGCAGCAATAGTTGAAGAATTTAAGACTTCTAAGCTTCTCGTAGGGAAAATTTTTAGATTTAAATAGTGTTGTTTTGTATTGCATTGTATTTACTTGTGGTTTTTGTTAAGCTTTTATTTATGTATAGAGATGCATTTGAGAGTAATACTCATTACATCCCCTGACTATGTATATCTTTTTATTTTTATGAATGAAATTCACTTGCATTGTCAAGTTTCATAAGTAAGTTTTGCCCAACCGGCTTTCAAATCCTGGATCAGCAAGTGCAAACCTAGTTGCCTTTTTATCTGAATATGATTACACTTTCAGGGTCGTATCTAATTGGATTAATCGTATTTTTGCTTTGCTACTTGATTTGATACAAGTCATGTCATGTAGTGCACATATTTGCAGAAAGCAGAAGACAGTTTAATGAACCACTATGATAGGGCAATGCTCTCTTATTTTTCATCGATTAGTCATCCTCCTAATCAATTGAACAATCTAAACAATACCCAGAAAGCAATTATATGTACAATTTTTTCTCTCAGTGCTTGTGCTTGGTTTAGTAACTTAAATACAGAAACAATGGTGAATACAACCCAATTCACTTCATCATTAGTTCATTCATCCCATTCAACAATACAAACAAAACCCAAAAGGCAATTGATACAAATTATGAGCAATTATTTACAAGCAAGGTTAGTGACAGACATACCCATCACTCCCAGGCCAAAGGCCATGTCTGTCTGGCAAGAAAAATCACACCATATATCTTCCAAAAATTTCCAAGAAAAATTATCACCATATATCGCGGCAACAACTTTGATTACTATGTGAAGCCCACAAATTAAGTAGGTCAAGTCCTCTCCTGGTGGCCCAAAAAAGGGGTCGTCTCTTTGGTTTCAGTAGTGGAAAATATATCTTCGACGTATAGAGGGGTTTCAATATTAATAATTTGCATTGTGCGGTTGTTGTTTGCCAAGCATCCTTTTCAAGCATCGTTGCTCTTATATATATAAATATACCTCTGAGTGAAATGCTAGCGCAAGCTTATAACCTAATGGCTCATGCCTTCCTTCTCTTCCTCTTATTCTCTTGCATTATATCTACAAATATTCATGCCTGCAAACAAACTGAATGCAGCTCCCTCCTGTCCTTTGCCTCCACTCTATCTTCTCCTCCTTTAAATTGGACATCCATTGATTGTGATTGTTGTCATTGGAAGGGCATCACTTGTGATCAAGATGGTTGGGTCACCCGTTTGCTCTTGCCTTCCAAAGGGCTCAAAGGAGGTATCTCTCCCTTTTCACTTGCAAATCTCACACATCTCACCCACTTGAACCTTTCCCACAATTCACTATATGGTTCACTTGAAACTCAGTTCTTCTTTTCTTTGAATCAACTCGAGATCCTTGATTTGAGCTATAACCGTCTTTTTGGAGAGCTACCACTTTCTCCATCGTCCAGCAATATCCGGACAGTCGATTTGTCCAGCAATCACTTCTTTGGTGCAATTCCATCTTCATTCTTCCAACAAGCAAGCAACTT